TCCGTATGTCCAAATTGGTTTGATCATAATTTTATACAGTACAATTTTCTTAGCCAATGATAATTTTGAATTCGTACCTAGTTAGTAGCCAATTGAGTTTACAAATGTTTAATTCCATTTGCTGTCTCTTGCACCAGATATGAGATTTCCAATTTAATTTTTTGTCAAGAGTTAGACCTAAATATTTTACACTGTCTGCCTCCGTTAAGGCTACATATTATTAATGGTTACTGGAGGATTGTACTCTGTTCTCAGAGTAAAAACAATATGTTTGGACTTGTTTTCGTTGACTTTTATCCTCCACTTTTTAAGCCAATATTGGAGCTCAGTCAAGGCTTATAAGAGTTATAACAATCAACGTTAGTAATTACATTGCAATGTATGAAGGGGGTGGTTGCTTCCAGAATTGCCTCCAAGGAACAACATGTAATATTTAACAACATAATGTAATATTTTATGTTACATTTGACAACAAATATTCGTAAAAGACAAATGGAATAGAAACCTATTTGATAGCTCTCATTTTTTTATGCATAGATTTGTTTTAAAAAATTAGGTTATCATTACAACAGCTGTTTCCTTAATTTAATTTAATCAAGAAATGACAAACATGGCATAGTAAACAAAATAAAACATTCTTCCATAAGATTAACATGTAAACTGCAAAGGGCGCCTTAGGACGCTACCCTTAAGGGTTTTTGAAACGGAAACAGGCTATTATGTTATTATAGTACCTAAGGAATATCCCTGTAAATTTTCATGCCAATTTGTTCAGTAGTTTTCTAGTTATAAACGCTGTAACTAACACAACTTTCTTTTATATATTTCTAGTTGGCCCGACAGACGTCGTCCTGTCCTAATGTGGTTTTATGTCAAATATTCGTTCATTTTCAAGATGAGCATGTTCGCATGGCTCAATCACGTCTTGGTTGAAGTTCGTTCGCTACGCTCACTCACCTTTTGGTTGCAAATTAGCTGTTGTCATAAATTGAAAAAAATAATAGTGTTGCACCCTGTTGGTAAACCTATTAATTTCTTAATGCTAATGAACATCATAGAATTATAGTTCGGCCGCTTAGAAAACGACCTGCGCGCTAATGCTAAACCAATGCTGGAGGAGGTCGTTTTCTAAGCGGCCGGCCTATAAATTCTTTAGTTGAACCAGCTGTTAAGAATCTTTAATTCCATTTAAATATGAGTACTCATAAGGTTAACATGGGAAACTCCAGAGCCACTGGGGCGGAGCCCTTTTGACGGATCTGCACCAAACTTCACACAAACCATCCTTGAATAATGCTTAATAATAACTGAAAGTTTCATTACAATCTGTCGATCGGTTTCGGAGTCCATAAAGGACAAACAAACATACATTGGATTTTATATATATAGAAGATTTGTTATAGGCCTAGCTTGCTATTTAACAGTTTTGAGTTTTCAGCTTTCTTCTATTCTTCAAATTCGAGATTTTTTTATAATTAGAAAATAACATGGAAAATGCCCTTACTACAAGTTATCTTAAAGAGTAGCTCATGAATAGGCTTGGAAAGAAATTTGGCGCTGTTCCGTTCAGTAGTTAGGGTATTACGGTAGTCAACTTCAAAGTCCTTTTGTAAAACGTTTTGATCCACCCTGTAAATACGGTTAAAGATAATTAAATTTTTTTGCACAAAAATGATCGGGGTGATTAGACCTTTAAATTGATGTATCACACAACCCATGTTTAAATTTGAAAATTTCTCAAAAAGCACCCCTACCCCCCAAATTGGGCCCTTTTGGGACATTTTTCAAAATTAAAAATTATTTTATTGGATTTTGCATGTCCAAATTAGGGGGAAATAAGAACAAACAAGTGTAAAACGCCTTGCCTTTGCACACAACAGATATGGAAAGTTTTCAAATGAACACCTGTATATTTCAAATAAATTTATGATTGAAAACACTTTGGATGGATACCATAATCATCCTCAAGCTAAGTTTGGCCTAGGTAGCAAGTTTTAACTAGGTACCTTCTTACACGAAAAAAAAAACAGTATAATGAATCATAATACAAGTGTGACAAAATGTCAAATTATTGTAAAGCCTTCAAACGGCAGAACACATATTATATACACAAGATAGTTGATAATAGCATTGACAAATTTGAAGGAGACTGCAAGCGCCGTGAATAGAAGTCGTTCGGAGTTAAAAAAAGAACGACTCTCATTATACTCAACCGATCTGTTCAGCAAGAGCTGTTCACCTTCAATTTGAATCTCCCGCTCTTTGTCGATCTGTTTTGCTTGTCGACATTTTGCGTGTCGATAAAGTGGGAAAATTTACACAACCGTCCCACATAACAGACATCCCACATAACCGACATCCCACTTTACAGACATCCCATATTACCGACACTGTCGACATTTTGAGTTGTCGACATTATGGGACTATTTCAGTGTCGATCTTTTGGGATGTCGATAAACTGGGACCCCACGGCTTGAAGCGTCCCTCGAGCCTCGAGCCTTGCGAGTTGCGGGACGGGAACTTGACCCCGCCTCGCTGTCGTGGATAGCGCTGGGTTCACAACGATATGGTAGTCATACGGTTAAGTATCGATCGTCGTAGTATGAAAACAAATACTATCGAATATCGTAAATCGATTGGCTTCCATAGCGCCAACCAACCAACCAAAACGTAAACAAACAAGTTTAGCTGCTAACTCATGTTTTCCAATTTTTATTTTATTTATAAAAATGTCATCGTATTTACTTATTAATTGTTTAATGTAAAACAGATTGCAAATAACACTTTGTTAAAAATAACCAAACCAACCAACACCGACAGGCTGAATTTTTATCTCAGGATTAGTGTTGCCTACAGTATTATTTTGAGGCTTCTGATTGGCTGAGGGAACATCATTACCGCGACGATACGGATGATGCCATCGGCCTCGGTGGTGTAGTGGATAGAGTGCTGGGCTGATGATCCGAAGAACCCGGGTTCGAATCCCACCCGTAGCTTTATTTTTTTGTATTGCATTTTTTTCATTATCAACAAGTTTGGTTGGTTTGGTTAGGTTATGACGGTTTAATTTTATAATTAAAACATTATGAAATTGAATTTGACCCATTTATAGTTTTATTTTATGAACAGATTTTTTCGGTTAAACCTTCATTTGATTTTTCATTATAAGCAAGTCTGGTTAGTTTGGTTAGGTTATGATAGTTTAGTTTTAGAATAAAAAAATTATAAAATAGGATTTCAGGCATTTATAATTTTATTTTATGAACAGAACTATTTTTTCGATTAATAAACCTTCATTAGATTTTTTCATTGTCAGCACGTTTGGTTGGTTAGGTTAGGTTATGACAGTTTAATTTCATAAAAAAAATATAAAATTGAATTTGAGGCATTTATAATTTTATTCTATGAACAAAAAAATTTGTCAATTACTAAACCTTCGTTATAGTCAATCAGAAGCCTCTAAATGACACTGTTGGCAAAATTAATCCTGAAAAACAAATTGTGCCACCGACAGACAGAAGGAGAGAAGACAGAGACAACAAAAACTACTAGCACTAGCCTAAAAGGAGAGGAAAATATTTGATTTAATTATGTTATTTAATTTATTCCAACATTGTTCCTTTTGATCAGTTTCATGGTGCATAGCATGGTGGAAGGTGCATAGTGCATTATTATGGAGGAAATATGCAAAGGTCATCTAAACGCTTTTAAAAGTAAGGGGGTGGTCATTTATCTGGCGTTAATTGCACAAGATACTGGAATATTAATTTTAAAATTCCTCCGTAATTTAAGTTCTTATATATTCATCATGCTGGTTATCAGTCTTACTGTAATTGGATAATAAACATTTTCATTGACAAATTTTATGCCAGGTTCAGATATTATGTTGTACTTATTTATTTGCATTCACTCTCACTGCAATATTGTGAATAAAATTATGGCCTTCCGTCGTCAAGGCCACATTATGACGATTGACGACAGACATAGGAGCAGCTGCAGCAGAAGGCACCAAGGCAATAGTTTACTTCCACCATGACATGAGACAGCCGGTGAGCCAGAGCCCAGAGCCGATACTAAAAAGTCGATGTCTGTCATCCAGTACAAAACAAGCTCGATATTTAACCGAATGGCTGAATTTTTATTTCAGGATTAGTGTTGCCTACAGTATTATTTTGAGGCTTCTGATTGGCTGAGGGAACATCATTACCGCGACGATACGGTTTATGCCAACGGCCTCGGTGGTGAAGTGGATAGAGTGTTGGGCTGATGATCCGAAGAACCCGGGTTCGAATCCCAGCCGTAGCTCTATTTTTTTGTATTGGATTTTTTCATTATCAACAAGTTTGGTTGGTTTGGTTAGGTTATGATGGTTTAATTTTATAATTAAAACATTATGAAATTGAATTTGACCCATTTATAGTTTTATTTTATGAACAGAAATATTTTTTTCGGTTAAGCCTTCATTTGATTTTTCATTATTAGCAAGTCTGGTTAGGTTATGATAGTTTAATTTTAGAATAAAAAATTATAAAATAGGATTTGAGGCATTTATAATTTTATTTTATGAACAGAAATATTTTTTCGATTAATAAACCTTCATTAGATTTTTTTCATTGTCAGCACGTTTGGTTGGTTTGGTTAGGTTATGACGGTTTAATTTCATAATAAAAAAACATATAATTGTTTTTGAGGCATTTATAATTTTATTCTATGAACAAAAATAATTTTTCAATTACTAAACCTTCGTTATAGTCAATCAGAAGCCTCTAAATGATACTGTTGGCAAAATTAATCCTGAAAAACAAATTATGCAACCGAATGCCTACCATATCGTTGTGAACCCAGCGCTATCCCGCTGTCGTCGGTGATAATGTTATAGCTCAGTGGGTGAGAACAGAACTCAGAAGCAGAAGAAGTGTTATAGAACTAGAACAGAACGGAATCAGCGAATCAGCTGATTAACTAAGATTAACCTTCAAGCTTAAAAAAAAAATCAAAAATCAAAAGCATTTTATTTTAAAACTTCCAAATAATCATGTACCCTACTGACTGATAGCCTCATCAAATTCCTTAGTAATATTGGTGCAAATTCAATTAAATTATTTCGCGTTAAGATGGAGATTAATTTTAAAAATAAAAGAGTACTTGTAACGGGAGCAGGAAGAGGTAAAATCTATGATATGCCTAGGCCTAGTGTTAATTTCCAACCCTAGGCCTAACACTAAAAGCAATATACGTAAGTTATAGGCTGTCCGTTCAATATTGATTAATCTTCTCATCTCTAGAGAATACCAATGTAATAGCAGTCATGAACAAAATAATAGTCTAATAGGTAGGCCTAGCCCACGATTACTTCTAGTAATCGTGGCCTAGCCCAGCCTTGGCCTATTAAGAAATATTTAAGGAAAAACTTTGATTTAAGAAATAATTGCCAACCTTTTTCCATCAAGAATAGGCGTAGAGTAGTTAAAAAAAACAATGTTTTTTCAAGATGTTTTGGGTTCTGGAATCAACTGATCAATGTAGCCTAATCATTGTCAATCAACACATCCATCGACAAAAAGGGTTTGGAACTCTTTCCCATAAGTCGGAGGATACACGTCCGGTAACCGGGCGTGGATTAGGCCTAGGTGTCCGGCAGTTACTGTCATAACCTAATCTAACTAACCAAACTTGCTGATGATTAAAAAATCAAATGAAGGTTAAATTCTGTTCATAAAATAAAATTAGAAATGCCTTAAATACTAAGTTACAGTTAAGAAAAAATTGCATTCTAAGCAAATCTTTGACAAAAAGTTAGTGTCACCGTTGGAATTCGATCTAGCCTAGATAGGCTACCTCTTGTTCATCAGCCGAGTACTCTATCCACTACTGTACACCACAAACACCAATGGCTGTACATCGTATCGTTGTGGTAATGGTGTTACGGGCCCCCACAACCCGGCATTTCGCCTATTGGGTCTGATGATGATTGGAGTGTCCAATCAAAATCGATCACCACTTACCATCTTTTTTGTACCATCTTGTGAGTAACAGTATAAGCGTAAATATGTGTTTTAAGTTTTATTCAAGTGTTATAAGACGTTTCTTTTATTTACTTCCTGTAAATTTAATAACACCTACAATGCTGATCAAGAAGCTATTTAACTAAGTTAGATCACCTATCCGGTCACCTATGACTATGGATCATGCTTCTAGATGTCCAATGAGGCGATTAACACTGTTACTTAATTACATTTATTTATCACCATAACTTAAACATTTTGAAGAAATAAGTTTAAAATGTTCTATCTTGTGCAGGGCCTACATTAGATTAGCTTAACACGTTCGCTACTGCAATAGTACGAAATTTTCCATTCACATGGACCAGCGACGCACATATGCGACGGCCGGTTTCCACCCATAGACTGCCGTTGCATAGACGGCTAGTCACATTAAAATAGGCTGCCGACGCATATTTGCGTCGGGCTTCTAATGTTATCAAAATGCGTATATCTTTGTAGTGGTCTATTTGAACGCACTGAATTCCCTGCAGTGGTCTACAGAGATGTCTGACGCACAACTGCGTCGCTTGGTCTGTGGATATGATGATTGATGACGTCATATAATAGTTGGAAAAACTGGTCTTTACCTTTCTGCATCACTGTATGTATGTATGCAGTATGTATGCTGCATTATCCTATGTAGCTTTTATATTTATTCAGTTATAAACTGTTCTTGAATAATCTGTTTATTTTTTTAACTTACTTTCACCTTAAAACACAAAAAACGAACTGTCGCATATATGCGACGTTTAGTCTATTTCAAGAAAACTATGATAATTTTCACTATTGTCTTCGCTGTAGACCGGGTGTCGCAAATATGCGACATTACAAAAGGTTAGAAAAAATACAAAAAAACAAGAATAATTGATTTATAAACACGATTGTAGCGTATTACAATGTAAATGATCACTGTTTTACAGGTTTTCGCCCGTGGTCTATGTGTAGGCCTACTGTTAAAATCCAAGTGACAGCCGGTCTATGTGTAAGATTCAAATGTATACCTCGGTCTGTGGCAATGACCGCGGCGTCGCATATATGCGACGCTCAGTAGCGAACGTGTTAACCTAGGAAAAACAATCCCCATTTAACTTGCAGTAGGCCTACTGTACAACCTAGTTTTGTTTGTGGCCATGCCACAAAGGATTCCAATCAAATGATGTTGGTTCTGAAATTATTAATTAAATGTACGTCGAGTCAATTGACTTTTTCAACTTGTATGTTTGCAGGTATAGGACGGGAACTATGCAAAAGACTGGTTGTATGTGGAGCTAAGGTGTGTACTTAAAGCTATTGTTTTTATTTGCACATTTTAGTATGGGTTACAAAATATGCAATCCACAGTTTCCTAATTAAATACGGTGTTAAGTAAAACCTCCATTGAGTTGTTTTAACATATTAATTAACTACAGTTTTAGTCCAAGTAGATGTCTGTAGGAAGTAAGTTTATTTACAAAAAACAATCATGTAGGCTATATTGAATTTTATAAATATTATTTATGTTTGAACTGTATTTGTGTTCAGGTAGTTGCAGTATCCAAATCAAAAGAGCCTCTGGATTCTCTTGTAGAAGAATGTCCATCAATTGAGGCTGTGCTGTTAGATATTGGCGCTGATTGGCACAAAACAGCTGAAGTGATTGAAAAACTAGGAACTTTCGACTGCCTTGTGAACAACGCTGCGGTGGCAATATGTTCTCCTTTCCTTGAAGTGAAACCAGAGGAAATTGATGAGTAATTGTTGATTGATTAAATACTAATATCTCTTCTACCTTAACTTAAGTTAGTGAGCTTTAAGTTAGTAACATCAACCCTGCCTCAGGACGAGCTCCTGAACAAGAAGCTGTGGTTCATATAGTAACTCAAGTTTGACAGGCTCTGAGGTAGGCCTGCCTACTAAACAAGGAGCATTAAAAAACCTACATGTGGCAGACTTGCCAATTTATTTCAATTCAATGGGTTAATTATTCCCCCAGTACAGTTTTTGCTAGTCAATATTACTCTGCACCATTTGTTGTGTTCTTGTTCCAGTAGCGATTAACAGAAAAATCAACACTCCCGTGAAGGGTGAATTTTGTTTTGCGATGTGGTTTTTTTGGTAAATCTAAACTGAAATCCATTTTCATTATATGAACATATAGACTTTTAATGTGAGCTTGTGGAGAAAGTCATTTAAGAGTGAGCATTGCAAGTGGTCGATGACCGACCAGAAAACTTCTTGAAGAAATAAAATGATTAGTGATCAGGCATCATGTGCGAATGAGTGTGTACGCATTCCCTCCCAGTTGTCACACTCCTCTGTCCAGCACCATGAAAGAGTTAAAAATCTCTGTTAACTTACCTTAGACCCATAAATTATGTTTAACACTAAATTTGAATTTTAATTCTGTATTTACATAAATTTCAAAACTAAGCTGCCACAACATAGAATAATCATCTCTAATCCTGTGTAATTTACTTTTAGAATGTTTAAAGTAAATGTGAAAGCTGTGATTAATGTAACTCAAGCGGTAACAAAAGGCATGGTCAAAGCTGGTAAAGCAGGCAGCATTGTTAATGTGTCTTCACAAGCTTCCAAGGTAGGCTTTTAAGTTAAAAATTTTTAGTTTTACAACAGGTCTATGTGATGGAGTCCTTTAAATATATATATATATACTAGCTGACCCCGCGAACTTCGTATCGCCTAAGTTATAGGTTTCCCCTAAGACAGACCGATGGAAAGAAAGTACCGTTACGTTTAATTTTCAAGATGATCTCGTTCGCATCGCTCAATCACGTCCTGGTTGAAGTTCGTTCGCTACGCTCACTCACCTTTGGGTTGGAGCTCGTTCGCTACGCTCACTCACCTTTAGGTTGGAGCTCGTTCGCTGCGCTCACTTGCCTTTAGGTTAGCTCGTTCGCTACGCTCACTCGCCTCCAGGTTGAAGTTCGTTCGCTACGCTCACTCACCTTTTGGTTGCAAATTAGCTATTGTCATAAATGTAAAAGAAATAATAGTGCTGCACCCTGTTGGTAATCCTTGTAACTTTAATGCCATTGAACATCATAGAACAGAACCAACTTGTTTAATTGAAACAGCTGTTAAGATTCATTAATTCCATTTCCCATAAGGTTAACATGGGAAACTCCAGAGCCACTGGGGCGGAGCCCTTTTAGGAATTTCGAAACGGGAAATAGTTTACTTCCTATTCGCATACCTACAGAATTTACACACCAAATTTCATAACGATCGGTGAAGTCGTTCCGGAGGAGTTTGCAGACAAACACTGTGACACGAGAATTTTATATATTAGATATATATTTTAATGAGAACTTACATTCTAGAGTTTTTGGAATATTTATATCTTTGATATTGAAAATGTTCACTGCGAGCAACAATGGTGACACATGTTTCTGGCTACTACATGGCTACTCGTCAGAACGCTTATTTTCTATAGAACTGAAGGAACAATTCTGTGGAACAATGCTGTGTTGACCTGTTTAAGAGATGCAATGAGACTGTAAAAGACTGGAAATGAGGGGTGGGCAGAAATCAGTATTTCCGATTCAGTTACTTAATCATATATAATGTAGGTATTAATCACCAAGCCATAATTTAAGTAATTTACCATGAGTGGCCAATTTTACTTGAAACTTAAAAAAAGCATAGTACACTTACTCTTTAATTCAGCATTATCAAAGTGACCCTTACGCATAAATATTCATTTGTGTCATACTGCAGAAAAAACCGCCGTTATTAATGCATGCATTGCGGGTCTAAAGTTCTATTTTCTAGACCCTATGAAGAAAAAAATCAGCTGTTATCAACTGAGTTGCTAGTTTCGATTGCAAACACTTGCATGTATCGATTTTAGTCAATTGTTGCCTTATTGTAAATAGTTTGACATATTGATAGTATAATGTGCATTAACACAATCGTAATAGATGAAACGATTAAATCACTTACTAAACAGCCAGCTGCTTGTTTTCATTAGCAAATTAAATTGAAAAACTATAAGAAGTAGTTTTGAGAGGTTATCTTTAAATGGAAATTATTTTAATTTTAGTTTTGTAACATAGTTTTTAAAATAATTGTGCAATATGACAAAAAATATAGGTAGTTCATTACACGGGACAGGCTAAAAGTGTCTTTTCAACTCGCTCATTTTGCGACCTCGGCTTTGCCTCGTTCGTAAGACTCAGGTCGAAAAGAGTCACTTTAGACCCTAGTGATGAAATACTACGGTATCTATTAGTTTAAATGGCTAAAATTTATATTCATTTTAAATGTAGGCAGCCTTGAAGAATCATACGGTTTACTGTGGTACAAAGGGAGCTCTGGACGCCATTTCTGGTGTGATGGCACTAGAACTGGGGACTTACGGTATCCGGGTCAATTGTGTAAACCCTACCGTGGTGTTGACGGACATGGGCCGTGAACACTGGACAGACAAAAAGGCTGAGGAAATGCTTGATAAGATACCACTCCACAGGTTTGCAGGTAAAGTATGCTAATATAACGCATCATTATCACATGTATAGTTTGTGACAGCAACAGTCGAACATTTATATTTTCTGTGTTCTGCCTCAAAACCACCTTGTGCCACTCTTGAGTTGTTTAGCTTACAAAGATTGGGTATAGAAGAGTTTTATCGTTTAACTCAGGATTTAATGATCAATTAATATTGGCGTTACTAAACAGATGATTGTGTCATTGAAACCCCCTTCTACTGGTTATGTATAACTTCCCCTTCTGTAATGAACTGAATTTCCTTATGAAATGAATACAAACCCTTTAAGAAAAGCAATGCCTTTGTTAAAAATTCAGTCTGAGAATAATTGAATTTTGGATAGTCCTTGCTGCGGCCGCTAGGTAGATTATCGGGAGCGTGTGTCCAAGTCAGCTGACTGAGTGAGAGATAGTGAGACAAAGAATTGAATTAGAGAGAGATAGAGTAGCGCGGCTGCTGCGCGAAGCTCATTTCGGCAGCAAAATTCCAGTCTATAACTATTCTCCATGAGCATTTTGCTTCTTAAAGCATTTGTATTCATTGGTATAACTGAACTAAGCTATCTTTAATTGTTTTACTCCCTAGGATGGTACCTACTAACTGTTTCTCATTCCCTAAACATGTTGGCCCAAAAGACTTTCTTGTTTGGTTTGGCTTCAGATGTTTCTGACGGCCAACTCAGTATCACATACATGCTTTAACTGCAAAGTTTTTAGCTACATAGCTACATAGAAACAGTTTTTTGCTTGTTTGCCCAGCGCTGTTCATTGTACACCGTACTGATGTTATGGGTTTATTTCCTCATTGTTGAGTCCCACTCCACAACTGAACTGCCCACTGCTATTATCTTGTTTACAAAACTACCCAGCTTTCAGAATTTTTGGTTTGGACAAGGGTGTGGTCCTGAAGTGTCTGACTGCATTAAGGTTTCCTGTGGTCTCTAAAGAAAAGTGCTGAAAACTTATTGACTCTTACCTAGTAAGTCATTGAGATAGGTTTTAATATTCTTGAAAACAAATTGGAATTCTTATCATATTCTTGAAATGTTGCCTTCAACTGTTTCAGAGGTGTCTGAGGTAGTAAATACCATAATTTTCCTCCTGAGTGATGTTGCTCCAATGGTGAACGCTGTCACACTTCCTGTAGACGGAGGCTTCCTGGCTTGCTAACAATACTTATGTTCACAAATACTCATATTGAACAATCAAGTCTTCCACTACGTTCTATTGATCATCAACTATTAGTGATTTTAATGCTTTTCCAGCATATTTAGATGGATAAAGTGTTAAATTTGGATTAGTAATCTCGGTAGAAAACCATAGTGTGATAAAAAGTATTTTGGTGCCTGTTAACTTCAAATATATTTTTGTCATGTATCAGTTACCAAAATGTAATTTTTCATGAATCTATTTTTATTATATTTTTTTATTAAAGAACATACTTGTCTTTTTCTTGATAGTTTTATTTTTTAACCTTGTGTGTGGTAAATACTCTAGAAGTCGTCAAACCCGGTACCGGTACTGGTACCTATATTATAAGTGTCAGGATTAGAAAATCAGATCAAGTGTGACATCATATAGACTCCAGAAAGTTAAGTTTTTAGTGTCATTGTTCAATCCAACTTCTTCAGCTGAACAAGTGAAGTCTGCATAAACCTTACACCAAAGATCTGGAAGTGCGGTATCTTTGACTGTATGTAGTAGACAAACCTTTTGATATATTGAGCTATTTTACTAGGCATTAACATTCAGACTAAAACAGTTACTGTTAGTCTAAGACCATTTTAAAGCATCTTACTTTCTAGGAATCTTTGATTTTAACTTGGTCTATAAATTTTCCCACGCAATGCCAATGTATACTTTAATTGGCATTGCCAGTAAGAAAGTGGTAAGTTAGAAACTCTTCAATTCAGTTTTAAGTCATGTTAGTTTCTTTTGACATTTTCATCCGAGGGAGGAGGGGGGTTCAAGGATAAATGTTATATATTTGGTAGTTGAGTTGTTATGGTGCTCACCGAGTACCGGTAATCCAAAGGTCTTCAGTTTGATCCTCAGAAATGTAGTACTAAGTAGCTGAAACTAGACCAATACAAGACTATAAGCTGTCCTGTCCTAGATCATTGGGCTTTTAATAAATGGCCTTGGCTAGTCACTTACTAGTCAGTAACAATTAAAGCTAAACACCGCATTTGTAGTTTATCCCTGAGGGTAGTCCCGGGCCTACCCAAAATTTGGTAGATATTTCAAAATTATAAAAAGAAATTTTATTATATGTAAATAAAGTGAAAGCATTAAACCCCATGATTTTGCATTCAAATTTTGAAATCACACCCTTTTTGCTCCACAAAGCCCCTCAATCAGTCAGGCCTACACCAAAAAAAATTCCTGGAGCCACCCCTGGTTCATTCATACACTCATCCTCCACTCATATTTGGGTTAGAATAGGAAAAAGCGCCCTCTTCTCAATTTACGAGCAATATCAACCCCAAACTTACACAAGGGGGTATTTTTAATACATGTAAGAGTTTTACACTGCTTTCATTACAGTCATTATATTCAATATAAATGCTGTTCCTGTTTTTTTATATTTTTTAATATCCGTCTTAGAAATCAAACAATCCACCATACTAGAGAGTAAGAAACAGACAATAAACCTTTATGTTAGATTTTATCTGAAAGTATGGTTGGTGAGTTTGGTAAACCAGTTTGTTTGAGCCCCAGGTAGTTTTACACATTCATTTTCATTATACAGTAGATTCTTTTTTTAATAACGGATAAAAGATTCTAAAAAAATACTTTTTAAGCACAACTAAATAGATATGGATAAATTAAGGATTTTTTAATACATGGCTAAGTTTATCATATATTAATATAGATCGAGATACCCCATGCCCACGGCCATGACTACGCCCTTTAACTACAGCCATAGACTAACCAACACAAATAGACTTCTCATCCCATTGTAAATTTTGAAGCACGTTTTTCGTGTCTAGTTCATGTACGGTGACACTGGGCGCTATTGTCGATGAAATTTTGTTTCTATTATTTTAGGGTTAATTTCTTGATTTGTGCTTTACTGTTTGGTTATATAACTAGGGGACAAGTTATTGTTTATGATTAGATCGTATTATTTGGTTAAACGAGGTTTTAAATGGCTGTAATAACGGGAAACAAATTGTAAACAAAACACGACCTCTACAGAAAAACGGACAGAACTAACAATAAAATTGGCTTCAGCTGTTCCATAAGGATGGGAAATCTACTAAGGGAGTATGTTTTATCTATGCTACAGCACAGCCACCTCTAATACAGTATTAGTGGTGGCTGTGCTACAGGCCGTGGCCTGGTAGAATTGGCAACGTCGCAAGTGGTGTTGTTTAGTGACAGACGTCCCATAAGATAACATGGCAGACAGGTGACATCAGCTTACTATTTCGCACCCACTTTATTGATTTAAATTTATGAACATAAATGTATTAAAATATCGAAAATAAAGCATACAGAATTGAAAACCGAAACAATATGAATTAAAAATCTATATATGTACATTTTAAGCGGAGTCAATATTGTCGTAAATAGGTACACAAATACCATTAGCTGCTTCCAAGCAAAACAGCTGTTACAACACCACTTGCGACGTTGCCACTTTGAAGGCCGCGGCCTAGAGTTAAAAGCGGCCGTGCCCACTGCCCATGCCCCATATCGGAAGATATATAATCAATGGTTTTACGCTCCTTAGGTTTTAGAGATTGAGTTGGTCACTTGGCTTGGAAAAAAGTAATTTTTGTAGAAGTAAAAGAACTTCGACGACGTCAACATGAGATAAGTGAGGAGGTTTAATTTTAAACGTCAACTTGAAACGTCGTCAACATCAACAAAACAAAAAAGGGGTAATTAATTAATTTATTTGTTTACGGTTACACCATTTTTCAGAGTTGACATGCTGATATTATATACGCGGTGTGGTTGGGCAATGGTAGGATTTGATTTAGGATTTATTTAGTTTCACTAACTTAGGCATATAAAATTGACTTAAAAAGATTAGAACCGGTATTATCTTTGATAATTGCATCTTTAGAAAACCATCGCTCCATGATAGCCTTTAGGCTAGGCCAAGGCCACACTAAAATACCCCCGCCGCAGCAAACCTGCAGACTAAGCGAATTTCCATTTGACTGATTGGATTTACACTAAAATGTCTACTTAAAAATATAACATTTATTCTTGATTTAAATAGAATTAGTTTAACAAGTACTTAGGTTTGCTGCATCAGGGAGGGTAAAACTGTTTTTTTTTTTGTAAAATGTGAATAGTTAGTAAGAAATAAAAACATTTTCCAAATTTGATCAAAATATGTTCACGAACAAGCAAACTACAACAGTTTACTTATTCTCCATAAGAATAACATGGGAATTTTAAATTTACAATTTTTTGGAATTTTCTCCGTAACCATTAGGCGCATAATAACGCTTCAATATACTAAATTATTTGTTTTTTTAAGCTCTACAAAATGGTTTGGAAAGAAATTGCTAAATTTTATGTTTTTTGGGTCAAAAATGGGAAAAACCTATTTTTACCCCATAAAACCCCCCGTAAACCCCTGTTCCCATGGTCCGATCATGCTGGATCGCGAACTCGTTCGAATAAACGTATGTTTACACGTTTGTACCAAATTTCATCAAAATCTGATCATTTTTGCTCGAGTTATCGTGCTGACGGACACATATATATATATATATATAAATATATAAATATATATATATATATGAATTTGAACGGATGGTGTTTTTGGCCTCTAGGGACCTCAAAACGAAAAAAAAAATCGGTCCCGCGTCCAGGTCTTACCATGAGTACTACGGTAATAGCTTATTCCCTATATGGGAAATTCGCTAAAAACGCTAGGCCTAGTCTATTGATAACTTAAAGACTATGCTTTTTATAGTGTGAAAATTTAAGAATCAGGTTGCTAAAGCTAGGTAAGTTAGGTTATGAATTACCTATTATTATTAATACTAATACTATTACATTCATTCATTGGTAAAGCATTGCGTACAGTAAAAAAGGTTGGTTCAAAGTCACCAAGTTAAGTAGTTCATGGGAAACCAAGAAAATAGTTTTTAAGAAAAGCTTGCATTCTGATGTTTAAATTAGGCTAATTTACATTTAACATTAGCCTGAACCATAATCTTCTTAAATTTAAGCTTAGCTTTCAGGAATAAGTAGGCCTAGGCCCTACCTACTAAGGATTTTTTCTCAATATGGGGTTTAACCAGTAATACAATTCAACATAGCCTAAAATGTACTCATTTTTATGTAAGTTAGGCCTGTAGGTACCCTAACTTATGCGATATTAGCCTATTGGAAGTCTTGTCATCAGGAGATGTATGTAGGGCCTAGGCCCAAGTAAACAGGCACTGTTGATCTTATAGGCTAATTTTATTTTTTTCAACGTTTACTTGATGCGTGCAGCACAATTTTGATTTCAGCTGCAGTCTTTTGATATGCACAAAATGAAAGCGTTCTATAGGCTGTCATGGCGTGACATCACTCTCTTCTCTTGAGGGAACATTATTAAGTTACTGCAAAAATACGAAGTGCAGCCATCGGTGATCGTGGTGTGCTGAATAGAGTAGGCCTACTTGGCTGATGTACAAGAAGTAGCCAGATTCAATCCCACCGGTGACACTAACTTACTGTCGAAGATTTTGCTTACAATGCGATTACTTCTTAACTGTACATCTTTTGTTAGCATTTGAGGCATTTATAATTTTATTTTATGAACACAACTATTTTTTCAATTAAGTTTAAGTTTAGTAAACCTACATTTGATTTTTTTCATTATAAGCAAGTTTGGTTAGTTAGGTTCTGTTATGACAGTTTTATAGACCTAATTGATGTAGTTAACAATATCCATTATTTAAATCTAACTAAGTCAACAAACAACAAAGAGTGACGTCTCAACCCTCAAGAGAAGAGAGTGACGTCATTGTACATAAAAGTATCAATTTGACTGATAACCAAACTTAAGTTAGCTTAATTTAACCAAAAACTAATCTTCTAAGCCTAAGTTAAGTTATATTGATTGTAACAATCGATAACTAATATATGATGGAGTAGGCTAAAATAAGCCTATGATCTAAGCTGTGCCAAAAAATCGACTAGGCCTAGTAATGATAAATTCATACATTAGGCCTAATCTAAATTAACTTAGGTAGGCCTATCATTTTTAATGATTTTAGCAGCCTCAATGGAGAAGCTCGGAAATGGAAATTGTGAACATGAAGTGCCGACATTAAATGATTTTCCTGAAGAATCAAGCCTAAGAAATCGTCTTCACCTGCTCAGGGAGAAGTTTTCTTGCAAATTTAAAGCTAAACCATCGTTATATCTACGAGTACCAGGGAGAGTCAATCTTATTGGAGAACACATAGACTATTGTGGTTACTCTGTATGTCCGCTGGCTCTGGAACAAGACATTCTTGTGGCTTTCTGTCCTTCAGTCCACGGACAGTTCCTCTCCATATACAATCAGGATGAAGAAAATTACAAGGAATATTCCACTGATACATTTGATTTCAAGTGAGTTGATTAAATTTCAGTAAGATTAAGTTTTTTTTTTTTTTTTTTTTTTTTTAATTTATTAGATTCCATAAAATTTTACTAGCTGCTCACAAGTACCTAATCAGAGAATGTTATAATAGGCCTACAAGTAGTAATTATCTATCTATATGTAAGCTGATAGACAGTAACTTACTGGTTTGAGACTAGCCTCTAGCCTTCTGCACTTCTGGATTTGTATGGGTGGGCTAACCTATTTTCTTTTTTAGGGTTGTGTTTACCCCAAAGGCATTTTTACTTATTTTCTTTAAGGGAATGGTCATACCAAAACACAACTTACCCAATCTAACCAAACATAAATCACCCTTAGAGGTGTCTAGATGCGATGTAGGGCTGATAGGCAATTTGTTAATGTAAGTTTGACTTACCACAACAGAAATGTTGGTGACCTAACCTTACTTATCCATTGTCAAAATAGGTGACTTACATTACTCTAACAAACTAACTCATCCATTATTTTTGTCTGATAATATCCCTGTTGATTCACAGGTTCAGTCTACCCACCACAGGATGGGCAAGCTATGTGTTGTGTGGAGTTAAGAAAGTGATCGAGCTGTTGGTGAGCCAGGGCAAGACTCCGGTCTCAATACAGATGGCTGTGGCAGGCAACATCCCTCCTGGGTCTGGATTGTCCAGCTCCAGCGCCCTTGTGTGTGCAGGGGCAATGGTGACAGCGCTAGCTAACAAGGTTACCTACCTTTACCACAGAGAAGTAAGGTATGGTACAGAGGAAACATCCAATGGGAACACCCCATAAGCAAGTTTAATCTGTGCCTTACTTCTCTGTGCCTTTACTTATCTTTGTAGTATTAGAAAAAGATACCTACCGGTAATACCAACCATGCCAAGGTCATCATGCTAGGAATTAAAAAAAAAACCATTGTTGCAGTCGATGTTTTTAACTAACAAGTACCTATCCAAAAACTATTGCTATCATGAGGAACTTCCTGCTAAGAGGAACCGATATACTGTAGCGAGAAAAAAAAATCAACACCTCGCCAAGTAGGCCTGTAAATCACGTGTGAGTACTTATCCAGTTTAACATCAACTGAATGTTTTGGCAATTTTTAAATTTTTGATTAGTTACAAAATATAAATTCCTATAGAACATAGCCGAAATAACAGTGATCGAAGTTAGTTTATTTATCTTTATATATTGGTTGGTGTATTTATAAAAAAGTTTATCACTACGTACACACTGAAAGATATCATCTAAATATATTAGAAATGGTGTTTGAAAATACTTTTTAGTTTCAAATATGTAGTCAAACCTAGAACTGTCATAGGCTAGGTCGTTGACCTCCAAGGGTCAATTACACTGATAAAGGATTCAGTCATTATGTAATCATATCTTTGAAACAACTCTGTCCTCTACAAAACATTCAGGAAGTTAATAAACTCTCCTACACACACAATTTTATATAATTGACAGAGGAAAACACATTAAACTAGCTCTGTTTGAATTCTCATACCAATGAGTTTCAATACCTGTAGATTTGTAATGAAAAACTGTCCAACTTTGGAAAGCAATAAGCTCTTTAACAAGTCTAGTTTACTGTTATCTTATCTTAATACTAGGTTACTGAAGATGGCAATGACAGTTATTTCAAGGCCGTTCGTTCAAGGCAATTGACATGAAAACCATGAAGTAAATAACTTGCTAGATAATAAAAAAGTAAATAACCGATGAAGATTCTAAGATGATCAGCAATATGTATTTGAGATTTTCTATCTAGTTGAAGAACTTTAAAGATGTTTGTATTTTTATTACAATTTTATTTTTAAATTTATTTGCTGAGTAAAAAAAATATCTCCTAATTAAAATAATATACTATAGGTGATAATTTTGAAATAACGACAATATTATCTAACCAAGATCTATTTTACTCCAAAAATTGTTAATGAAGCTTATGAAGTTGAAGTTTACCACTCTACGAATTGAATGTTGACAACCTATGCTGATAATTTCTCTTACAAATAAAGCCCATTTTTGTATTTACTTTTTAAACACTCCAAAGATATGGATCTACTCCCAATCAGATTTGTTTTGCCACTACTCTGATTTGAAACATATATATTCTCGTTGAAAACTTTTATTGCATTAGTGTACCATTCTTAAGTTATGTTGTAGGCTAGATGAATTAAATTGTTCTAAAATAGATTCCTAAAATTAACTTTTGGCTAAATATTTACTTTTGGACAAATATTTCTCGTTATAAAAATGTTTGAGGAATATTTCTCGCTATTAAATGTTGAAACCGAACAACTAATAACATACATAATGTAATTTTTGGATGCACAAACATGTGTCCATAAGTGAAACCAAAAATATGAGTCCCGACTATCCTAATACCACCGTACTATTTGTATTGAATGGTTTTTTTTGTTAACTGGATTTTACTGTTCCAAACAGTTGAACCTTTCCAGAACGGAGCTAGCAGCTCTAAGTGCAGAGGCCGAACATTATATTGGCACTGTAGGAGGAGGAATGGACCAGGCTATCATTTTTTTGGCCTCTGAAGGTAATTTTCTTGTTTGATTTATACATTTTAGAGGTTAAATATTTGTTTCTTAATCACACAATATCTACCTACCACCTACCAAAATTCATATTGTCAACAACTTATTTCATGCCGTTTTCCAATTATTGAAAATGCCTGATGCTAGGAGAGGCAAAATGAGACATAACTTAGGCACCCAAGTACACTTTATTGCTCACTAGATCTAGTCATGACTTGGCAAGGGTGTAGACTATACTATAGCCTTAGCAATCAGACCAGAGCACCAAATTTACTAAAATCTGTATTTTAACCTCCAAATAGTGTTAAAAATAGTTTTCAGCTTATTTAATTTTAAAAATTTTACAAGTTTTTTTTTGAGTCTGGACTCCATTTTCTGCAAGGGGCTTTCCATACCCCCAGCCCAGGCATGTGTGATAGACTACTCTAGAATCTTGTAATAAACTTGGGTGATAATGGTTTTTACTTGCAGGAAATGCCAAGCTGATAGAGTTCTCCCCGCTGAGAACAAGGGATGTAACTCTGCCAGTCGGGGCTGTGTTTGTGGTCGCCCATAGCTTGGCTGTCAAGAACAAAGCAGCCAGTAACGACTTTAACACTCGAGTAGTCGAGTGTAGGCTTGCTGCTCAGGTGAGATCAACATAGCTTTTGTGGCTTGGTTGTCATTTTGAGCAAAATTATAGGCTACTCGACAGTTATTGTTCAAATAATGGTGAATTAGTTCATTTAGACATAAAACCACTATACTGTCATCTAATTTTTAATCCAGTAGTAATCTTGTTTAAAAGTAGACTCTTGAATCTATAGATCTGACAGTACCGTCTTACTGTAAATGCTGAATTATTGAAAATTGTCTCCACTCAAATACTGAGTTACAAGGGCTATATCAGCCATTTTTATAATTCTAATGTGATTTGCCGTACCTACTGAATATGCCCAATCTCCGCTAAAGTTCTATAAACTCTACTATTTATACGTTACCAAAATCTGTCGAATGATTTTGGAATTCTTATTCAGACCCATCAAATGCGTGATTGTTGAATATGACCAAATATTAGATACTAGAATAGCAGAGCTATTCCAGTTGTAATATACAGTTGTGAAAATCTGGTGTGAAGTGTTTATTGCTGTAAGTTACTGTTTGATCAAAAATGTATAGTGTTATAAATGTTGTATAGTGTTATAGTGTTAAAATGTATGAATAGGACAATTCTTATTGCCTAAAATTCTTATGTGTTATGGTATTTACTTGGGGTGAATCAGTTTTTGAAGTTGGTTGTCGGTTTTACATGACATTCAGCAGAAATTTATCCATGGGATTTTGATCTTAGAATCACATTGTAAAGGTATCATCAACAATAATTGACTTAATTATTATGATGGAAAGAAAATGTCACCTTGATGTTATGACTAAAAAAAGCCCATTTTGTCACTTATAACAAGGAGTTGTTTTCAAATGTCTATTACATTTCTTATAGAGATGGACAGTTATCAAGTGTTTGAGATTTGAAAATATCGTTAGTTCCAGCGAGAAAGACTTCTCTCCAAGACTTTTTCAAACAAGATTATAAAAAAAAAAAAAAAAAAAATTAAGAGCGCCTTTGCAAAAGAAATGAACAACAGGACATTCCTATTGCGGGCATTTTATAGATTTTCTGAAGGCATTTTTAACTGTGTACATCTCAAAAATCGGTTATTCTGGTAGTATTTTTTTTATCCGTTATAACCCTGGTCCCATCTTTACCGGTTTTCTCATTTTTGACCCTCAAAACACAAAATTTCCCAATTTATCTCTAAACCATTTTAAAGAGCTTAAAAAAAAAACTCATAATTTAAATTTAGTATACCAAAGTGTTTTTGTACGGTTATTAGTTACGGGGAAAATTAAAAAAAATTGAAAATTTAAAATTCCCATGCTCTTAAGGAGAATATTCTAAAATGTTGTAGTTTGCTTGTTTATCGGAATATTTTGATCAAACTTGGCAAATATATTTATTTTATACTAAGCTATTAATATCTTATTAAAAAACTCAATTTTTAACCTCCCTGTAGCAGCAAACCTAGGCACTCTTTAAACCTAATGTTATTTAAATAGAATTAATTTAAAATCAATTCAGGCAAATGGAAATTCACTTAGTCTGCAGGTTTGCTGCGGGGGGGGTATATTTTTAATGTGAGATTTTCATAACCATTTAAGTTCCTGTAAACCTTTTTGTTATTTCGTACTCTCTGTTTGTATCAACCTTTGTAATAAATAATTAGTTATTGTACTTTAGTTGTTGTTTTATTAATATACAAATGCTTTCTTGTTATTTTTTTGCCATATTGTAAAACTGCTCACTTGAGTAATCTCATCTCGATTTATGATGAGAAAAAGAATCTTGTCTCAAATTTAAAACACAGTCTCGTCCATCCCTAATTACATATTATTAACCCTTTGCCCTCGAATTGCCAACAGTGCTGGCCTCAGCTGTTTCTGAGTCAGCTTGTCATTGTTTACGCAGCGCCGTGCCTCTCTGGTTGTACGGCCAGCCCTACTGGCCATTGTTGTTTCTCTTTAGGCTGGTCACCATTCTGCCAACCCAGCTACACCAGCTTGTATCAAGTATTTTGTTTTTGTCAACTATGGTAAGGGCTTAGGTTTTACACATTGAAACTAAAAATCAATTAAAATAAATCTAATATTTTTATGTTTTATTGAAAGCTAATGAAATAAGAAATAAAACTAAAATCAAAGTTTACTGCTTAAGTTCATACATAAAATATTTAATTTTAAAATTTGTCAAAAGAACTACTGTTGCTATTGAAACTATGTACGATTTCCCTTTCTTTCCCTATGAAACTAGGCCTTGAACTTATATTAACATTATTTATAAACATTTCTTATATTAACAGGTTAGTCCAAAAACCATTTCTAGTCATCCTACAGTTACACAATTAATAATATTTTATCCTGGTAAATGTAATCTCACATCACAGTTTCACATGGCAACAACACACTGACAGTTGAGGTTATTTTACAGTGAAAATGGCGTAATACAGAGCTGCAAACCTTACAAACTAAAATTTTAATATTCTGTGAATTGAGGTACAATCTCTGTTTAGTGCTGCAGCCTACAGGAGAACTAATAAACAATGTTAAAAAAAGTGTGTTGGATAGCCACCTATACTGGCCGGACAAGCTGACGGGGAAATTGGCTGTACGACCTGTGAGGCACTGTGCCGTGTAAACATGACAAGCTGATATAGAACGTAGCCGTGTCCAGCGGGGCTGGCCATTCAAGTTGAGAGGCACTTTTCTAAAATGGCTATGAGACCGCAAAGGGTTAATATTGATAGTAATTAATTCATTATTTGGGATTTTTTTATCTGTATGATTTGGGTAGTTATATATCCCACTAAAACTGTTAGTCAAATTTGGTATAGCATTTATCATTAATTTTTATGAGAAGTAGCACTGCATTATAATTTACATTACTTAGACATGTTTCAGGTTCTTGCCAAAATAAGAGGTTTGCCCTGGAAAAAATGCTTAAGACTTGTTGATATTCAAACTTCTGCAAAATTAACTCTCGGCGAATGCGCTAAGATGGTAAAAGAGCTTCTCCATAAAAATCCGTATACTTTTTTTTTTTTTTTTTTTGTCCTAGGACGCTAGGCACGAGCCTGGAATTGTTTTTCACATTACTTCAGGCTAGACCTAGGGGTTGCGGCATTATCACTTAGATAAAATCCATTGGTGACTTGGCGGGGATCGAACCCGGGACCTCAGGGACTGAAGTCCCGTGCTCTAACCACTACGCCAGCTCGCTCCCCAACATGAAATATTACTTAGACATGTTTCAGGTTCTTGCCAAAATAAGAGGTTTGCCCTGGAAAAAATGCTTAAGACTTGTTGATATTCAAACTTCTGCAAAATTAACTCTTGGCGAATGCGCTAAGATGGTAAAAGAGCTTCTCCATAAAAATCCGTATACTAAAATTGAGGTAAGTGACAAATTTCTTAAAAAGGTAAAACTAATTGAACTATTCCGATCAAATCTATTTCAAAACAAAAAAATACTTGGGAAATTTATTAAGGTATGTTGCTTTTTAACACATTTGCTGCAGTTGCGTAATGGCTGGTCACGGCCAGGAGAGAAACAGCCAATACGATGTGTAGATGAGTGTGTGGAAAATATTAAATTCAGTTTCATCCAATATAAAAGCCACAGTATAGCAAGTACTAGCAAACTTACTATGTTCCAATGTTTTTGGCCATAGTTGTACAAGAATCTAATCTAACAGATAGTAGCACTGAATAACATTTCTAACTGGCCCTCAGTACTGACTAATGCAGGGAAAAGGCTGGGGACAAATACCCAGACACACCACAAACAAAGCAAAGCCATACACTCGTAACCTCAAAATGGGAGCATATCCCATCCTTCTAGCATGAGTAGCTAGGCCAAACTAACCTATAGAAGTTTGCATTGCTCTGCCAATGGGCCAGTATACGACCCCCACTGGTGAACATGCCACACGCAATGTAGAAATATATGTAACGAAGCTGTGTGTGATAAGCTACAGTAAATGTAGCAAAGACTGCTTGGTTATCGATTCAAAAAATAATAGTCGATCGATCTAACAAAGCCAGTCATTCTAAATTACTAGTTCTAGGCAGTCTCCTTGACTGCTGCCATGTCAGTTGCAGTCTTTGGTCAGTTTAGAATTGATGCTTGCTATATATTTTTTACTTATCATGTTAGATCAATGATATGCAGTGCTTCAAAGAGTTAAGACAACATTAATTGTGTTACAGCTGTGCAAAATATTGGATGTGACAGAAAAGGAGTTGAATGAAATCACTCTGACCTCAAACACCGAACATGTTCAGCATTTCAAACTATTCCAAAGAGCACTGCATGTATTCCAAGGTAAGATTTCTCTGAATTTTTGTGTTTTAGAGAATTTTTGCAATATTAGTTGTGTTTCCTAAAGAAATCTAGATTAAGTTTTCATTTTGTAACATTTATTTGTCTTGCAAGAGTAGTTAGATTGTCCATGATGCATTTTTTTCTTTAAATCTTGTCCTATAAACATATAGGTAATATATCTGATGCATAGGTTACTTATGTTATTCTAATTTCATAGTTTTGAAGCTGAATGGATAGTGTTTGCACTTTTGCTTTGGTAATTTTGTTTAGGCAAACAAATATTACTTTCTTTACTAATTGAAACAAGGAGACATGCAAGGTTGTCTAAACTAGATTGTTCCTAACTTAATCAAATTAAAAGTGTTTTTTAAAAGCAGTTGAGAGCCTGGTTAAATGGGTAGTTTCACTTCTAATGCAAATACTAGAATACAAATACTTAAATTTTAAGCTTGGCATAGTGTCTCAATATACTGTATAGTTATCTACTAGGACAATATTTGTGTGTCATGGATAATATACCCGAATGGTGTTTTGCCATGACCTAAGAAATAATAATAATTTGTTTATTTTGAGTAGTTGTTCAACATCTTGCATTATTCTTGATGAGAAACTATGTTGGTATCCTCCACCAACACTCATTCATATATACATATTTATATATATTATTAAGACATCTAATAAACCTTGAATTCTGTGACAATCTTATAGTCAATACATTTATCTTCTTTTTGGTTTGGCCCTTCAAAATATTTTGTAGAATAATAAACTAACCCACCTAAAAATTTTACAATCGTAAAAATCAGACAAATAGCATAGGAGAGATATACAGCATTAAAGGTGTTAGTTCCCCAACCTATCTAAAAAGTGTAGAAAAAACCCCCGTAGTCAATATTGATTGCTGTGTGTTGATGAAGAGGCTCAAAGAGTGGCTGAGTTTGAGGCGGGCTGCAGAGATGGCTGTTCACTAGCCGAGCTCGGCCACCTGATGTCGGAGAGTCACGTGAGTCTACGTGACCTGTACGAGTGTAGTCACGTACAACTAGACAGACTAGTCTCGGTGGCCATGGCTGCAGGGGCTCTAGGTGCTCGTCTGACCGGGGCTGGGTGAGTTTGTGGTTTTACATTTAAAATTTTTCGCTCCACTAATTTTTACAGTAACAAATTTTCTAAAAAGGATTTAAACCTCAACATCTTTATAACACAATTTCACAACACCTATCATATTATGTTGCATTTCATGTTTGAAAAACAATGAGTTTGTTTTTAAAATGACTGAAAACCATATTAATCCAAGTTTCCAATAAGTTTTAGAAAAATTCAGTACTCCAAAGCTCCATTTTAATTCTGTAATTTTCTCCTCCAGCCTGAGGGTCGGTATGGTTGGCTGAAATATATTCCTCTGATTTGCTTTGTTTTAGAATATAATCTAGATGCTTTATCATCCTAACCAACACAGTAGACTTCTCATCGCATTGTAAAATATACTTAAGATTAGTTTAATGTCTAGTTCATGTTGGAGTGCTAGTGTTAGCAAAATTGTGCTTCTTATATTTTATGGTTAATTTTATGGTTTTTGCTTTACTGTTTGATTACCTATACAATTTGGGGGCGAGCTATTGTTTATGATTCGATTGTGTTATTTGATTAAGTTTAATTGAGGTTATAAATTACTAAAATAACAAAAACTGTCTAGCTGATACATAAGGATGACGAATCTACTAAGGAAGTATGTTTAATCTATGAGTATTGTATGGTATGACTGAGTATGGGAGTGTGGTGTGACGTACTGTACTAAGTTTATGTTTTTTGGCCTGAAATTTGAAGCCACTGTACAATGGCCATGCTTTGTATCAGAGATATTCTACGGGTTAGTTTGTTTTGTTTCTTTAATACTTTAATCTGAAATGGTGACCATCAATCCCAGTCCCAAAAACGTGAGCTCGCTATTTAATTTGATGTATATAATTCCTAATATAGTGACTTAAATTCCTAATATAGTAGTATTTTGTTAAGACCAGAACCAAGTAAATTCTTCAAAAAACTTGCAATTATACAATTTGTGGCATGGTATCCAAGTGATACTAGTGTCTAGACTGCCAGTGCAAGTCCCAGGAACGGCCGATCGGAGGATCGTGGATCAGATCATACCGGTGCATCAGCATAGCTTATCTAACTGTTCGCGGAAAATTGTTATATGTATCACTGTCGCTGTCGAAACGTATAATTTGTAGATTAAATTTGAATTAAATATAATTAAACTATCATAACCTAACCAAACTAACCAAACTTGCTGATAATGATAAACTCGAATGAAGGTTTACTAATCGAAAAATAGCTCTGTTCTAAAAATAAAATTATAAATGTCTCAAATTCAATTTTACAATCTTTTAATTATAAAATTAAACTGTCATAACCTAACCAAACCAACCAAACTTGCTGATATGAAAAAAATTGTTGACAAAAAGTTAGTGCTCCCAGTGGGATTCGAACCCGGCACCATCAGATTATCAGCCCGACACGCTATCCACTACACCACAAAGGCTCATGACTCAGTTCAGTATCGTTGCAGTAATGGTTGACGTCACGCCACGCCATCGGCACTGAGCGGTGGTGGGGGGTTTTTCGATCTGATCCACGATCCTACCGATCGGCCGATCGTAGGAGTTGCACTGGCAGTCTAGATGCTTATGCAATGAACATGTAGGCCCCATATAGTTTTTTATTTTTATAAAGGTAAATGTAAGAAAGTAACTAGTATCCACCACAGAAAGTTAGGGTTACTTTATGCAGGTATTTGGACCATCTTATGTAAAAGTGTGAAGTGTTTTAATGTGCCAGATCTGAAACTAGATGGTAACATATTGTGTAATGTAACTTTCAGCTGGGGAGGTTGTATTGTGGCGCTGACCACTGAGGATCATGTGGGAAAGTTCATTGACACTGTTAAACAACAGTTTTACGCAGACAACCCCCAAGTGGAGGGGCGGAAAACGGAAAATCTCATTTTTGCCACTCAACCAGGAAGAGGCGTTCAGGTCTTCAGACCTGAAGAGAACGAATTAGTTCACTAGTCAAAACACTCAGAGAAACAAATAATGGTGCCTTTCTTGTCTTTTCAGTCATTTTAGTTTATAGTATCACTGTTAGAAAACATTTTGTAGCTACATACTTAATAGGTTAGTTTATATGATGTCATTGAAAAAATTGTTTAGTGATAGTGTGACTATACTCCGTTCACAAAATTTAGGCGGTTTTAGGGAAATAAATCTATCCCCTCCACTTGAACCTACCTTTGAAAATAATAACTCAACAGCTGAGGTTTGCCAAAATATAAATCAGCTGTCCTATATTCAGTAAAAAAGTTGTGGGATAACTTTCCCTCAAACTACGTGTAAGCATTGACTATTGGATATCAATAGTCAAAAGTATAAGATAAATGAGGAAAAAAAATTAAAATTTTGTCAATAGATGAATTCATGTCCTGTTTATGTGTTCCTCAAAAGAGGTATCTAAGGAATGGCACAATTAGATATTTGCTGTATATAAGGTAATAGCAATCTGTCCCTCAACAAAATGCTACCACTATTACATCACGATTTATTCTCTATTGTCTTTCTTCAAATTTCAAGGCGAATTTAATTTGCTATTCAACCATCAAATCAAAGCTTTATATTGGAGTTCAATAAAGGCTGCCAATTTGGCTGCCTTTAAAAAAAAAATTCTCTTTAAAGTACCTTAAATCCTGCATTTCCTCGAGTAAGGAAAGGCATTTAAATATAACTTATAAGTAATTCAAACCTTATCAGTTTATTTTAATTTATCCACTTCAAGGTGTAAACACTTCAGTCTTGAGTACATTCTGTAGGTGCAAAATCCTTGTAATGGTGGAAGGTGTAAGTAAACATGACGTTTTATTATTTTTCTACCTCCAGTGAAAATGTTCAATATGCTAGCTCTGTTACTATCATATGTTCATAGGTCCATAACAATTTTTGGTTCTACAATTTCCACCTTCTTTAGCAGTATTGATGGAGTTTTTGCAGTGACTGCTTAACAGATTGTAGGCCTAACAGTAATAACTGGCTTTTAAGTTGAATTTTGAAGAAGTTGGAATGTTAATTAACTAATCTAAATACTAGAGTTTTTACTGACAGTCTTGTTTTCTATTCACGGTAACTTTTTAAACAGTAAATCGGTGCATTTTGTCTGAAGTTTCAATAGTTTTATGCGTCACTTCACTACTAAAAATCAAGGGAAACAAATATTACTCTACTCTGTCAGGCAAAACATTTTGCTCTAGTGGTAAAAACATCACAAGTATTGCTATTAGTCTTTCACTGGAGTCTTACAAGGTGAAGTCACAAAGTTCACTAACTATAGTGATTAATCGTGAACTCTGCATTCCTTAATTCCCTTTCATGCCACAATTGAGTGAAAATAGCCACTGTACAAGTATAATTTAGACATTCCATTAGCTTTATAGTTATAATAGCTTAATTTATATACATATCATTGATTGTGCCAAATTTGGAAAAAATCTGACTCTTTAAGTTTATTGTAATGCAATGAAGAGTATTTCTGAACTGTCTAGTCTTTTCTTTTAAACCTTCCTAAACCATTCTTACGATGCTAACAAACAATAAAATACTGCAATACTGTATAGTTACTATTACTATGGCAAGACCTAGACCCGGGACCGATTTACTTGCTTAATACTTTTATCTGAAATGGTAAGGTCCACCATTTTGTAAAACTAGTGCATTTATTCTGTACCGCATTGATATAGTGTAGTATCTAAAATTCTGTAAACCAAAAGCAGCTTTAAAGCTATTATTTTCATAATCCTTTGCTAATAAACCATTTCAAACCACAGTAAAGAATTCTAGCTAAATATATAGCTCCGAAGAAAGAAATTATTAAAAATATATATGAGATGTATGTCTAAGTACAAATAAATATCATTTCCATAATACAGGCAATATCAATTCCTTTTAGCACATAGTCTGTATCAGTCATGCGAGTATCCAAGTATATGATTAAGCCCATTAAACCCCTCATTACTCTCAAGACTTGCTTGCTATTCCTGGTTCATTATAGGCTCATTATCCAACATATCAAAGACACTATTCAATCTCTCTTGTATCCCACTTTATGTCAATTACCTACAATACTGCTTTAAGCCAAGTGTAGCTCCAAAGGCGCTTAGAATATGTTTATTCAACTGTTGTGGAACTTTGTAATTTTGATTGAGCATTTTTTAGCTCAAAACTGAAGATTTTCCATGATGAAACTGAAAAAAATAAATATGTCTAGTGTACTTTGATGTATTTTTTAACAGGGTGAATAAATAGTCAAGACACCCCATTTAATATTTTAAGTCTTAACTCCCTTCAAGTGACACCTTATTTTGAAGTGGATACTGCTTTTTATAATCCTGCTTGTTTTTAAACAGTAACCATTCAATCAATCTCATCAAGAAATGCGAGGAAAACTTAAAAAAAATATCTTCACATATTTAAGAATGACATGTGCATAATAATTGAAACTACACTATATAATTTGTTAATTTTAATTTCCTTCATAAGAGTCTAAAATGAAGCTACGTTTTGGATCTTTTAATATACAAGTAAGTTCAAAATATACTTCTTTAACTCATGAATACAAAAATTATAAACTGTATCAGCCATCTGACACATCATTTCTCCCATTAGATTGTCGAAAACCCTTGTGGGAATAACTATAAGATATTATGGGGAAAATCACAAAATTTGTAATGTAAAAAGTTTGAACATAATTTTTACAGCAAAAGGGGTTCAACTGTTTTGTTCAGAGTTCAAAAGAGCACTAAATATAATTCTAAATTGGTCAAGCTATTAAAAAAAACCGATTTGCCCGTTATTATTGGGTTTCTTATGGGAAAATAACATAGGTTGCAATAACTTTGGAAGTGTAATTTTTTACAGGAATGGGGGTTAAAGTACTGTTTTGTTAAGAACTACAAGGACTAAACATGAATTTTTTTAATTTAAAATGATTTTAAAATTAATATTAAACTTTAATCAAAATTATTTGATCAGTTTTTAACATTTTTTTGTCTTATGAGGAAACTACTATTAAAAATCAAAATTACACACACACCAAATTTCATCAAGTCGGTCCAAAGATGTGGTCTGTAGCTGTGTATACACCTAAACAATACACATACAGAAACAAACACACAAATATCACTTTCTAAAAGATGGAAAAACATTTTGGGTTCATGAAAGGGATACATCCGCTCAACCTCGAACATTTTGATGAAAACAATACTTTCTCCATATACGGGGAGAAAGTAAAAAATGTGTGTTAATCTAATTAATGTTCATTCAATAAAGCAGAAACCATCCTTGTAAAATAGCCATAGTTTTATCTAATAACTCATAATGAAGATATTGAGTAATACATTCTAATATAGTGAGTCGGTGGCTCAGTCGGTAGCGTCACAGACTTCGGGCCCAAGGCAGCGATGTGGGTTCAGATTCTGGTCAATGCCGAAAACATTTTATCAGTACAGATCACCTTTGTACTTTACCGGCTCACTCCTTGCTTTGCTGTATACAATCCACGCACGGGCGGTTAGTCTATGTGGAAGGGCAAATGCAAAGTTAAAAGAGGCCGCCAAACTCTTAAAAAACCCTCTTAAAAAAATTCAGAATAAAACATTTTTCACCTTAAGAAGTAGACATGCATATTTAAAAAATTGTATTATAGTAAGCTCAAGACAAGTAAAAAAGAAATTGTTGAAGCATCAATAACAAATTTTATTAAAACACAACTACTGGTACCAAAAACTTAATTTTACTCCCAAAAACATTAAAATCAACCAAAATAAACATTTACTACTGGTGTTTTTACTACACGCCAATTATGATAATTACAAAATGAAAATTCCCATTAACTTTTACACCATTAATCAATTGATTGCCAAAATCGCTAATGAGGGTAGCTTATTGTATTGATGCAGTTTAATTATGCTCTGTGGATGGGGAGGGGAGGTTTAAATGTCACACAGCAGCATTGCTCTTTGGTCTAACATTTGACAAAATGTCAGTAGACAAAGAGGCATTAGCCAGCCAAGTGGTCATTTGACCCGGAATATCACCTATTGTCATGTTTATGTTTTTTAATTTGAAAATGATTGCTCTCAGCATAACTCTTAGGATTTAAGAAGTCATTAAACACAGCCTTGCCATTACTGAATTATATTATGGTTTTTTTTTACCCCAATGAACAATTATAGTCAAAACAGTAGGATGTTTTGAAAATGATCTTTTTAGCAAACAGATGAGATCTACTTACAGTACTAAGCACTACAGTATTAAAGTACTTTGCAAAGATTTAAGTTATGATGCTACAAAACTAACATAAGTCCTTGCTAAAAAAACAGTATTACTATAGACTAATCAACACAAGTAGACTTCTCATCTCATTGTAAATTTTGAAGCTAAGTTTTTTTATTTACTTTTTTTGTGTTGACGTCCCCAGAGGCTTTAAAACCATCTGCATCCGTTCCAATTTGTTTTTACAGTATACAGGGTGTCCCGGAACTCTCTACCAATATTTTAGGACATTGCTCCTGGGTAAGAAACATACCTAAATATCATATTTAAATTATCCGGAAGTCCTTAGTTACTCACACAGCCGCCATTTTGTTTTTTTCAGTTATTATTTTTTTCTAAAGAATGGTTAAACATACGAAATGGAAACTTTGCACAAACATTTATGACAACTAGACAAAGCTACAAAAAAATATGACGATTTTTCAAACTCACAAAACAAAATGGCGGCCATTTAAAATTTTTACAAAATCAACGGTTTTTGAGTTAATTAAGAAACAAAATTTTAAATTGCCGCCATTTTGTTTTATGAATTTGAAAAATCGTCATAATTTTTTTGTAGCTTTGTCTAGTTGTTATTAATGTTTGTGCAAAGATACCATTTCGTATGTTAAACCATTCTTTAGAAAAAAATCAATAACTGAAAAAAACAAAATGGCGGCTGTGTGAGTAACTAAGGACTTCCGGACAATTTAAATATGATATTTAGGTATGTTTCTTACCCAGGAGCAATGCCCTAAAATATTGGTAGAGAGTTCCGGGACACCCTATATGTCTCTTAACTCGATGACTTGAGCAAAAATCAACCGATTTCAATTAAATTTGGTACAAACTTGTAAATCTATGTCTATTCAAACGAGTTCAACAACCAGCATGATCAGGCCATCGGACCGAGGTTTTATGAGGTAAAAATGGGTGTTTCCCATTTTTGACCCTCAAAACTCAAAGATTTCCCTATTTCTCTTTAAACCATTTTAAAAGCTTAAAAAACCACATAATTAAGTAGGCTACCTATATTGAAGTGTTTTTGTTCAGTTATTGGGTGCCGAGAGAGAGAAAAAAAAAATAATTTAAAATTACCCTGTGAATAAGTAAACTGTTGTAGTTTGCTTTTTTATGGATATACCAGCTTTATACTTTTTGATCCATCTTGGCAAATTTATTTATTTTGTACTAAGCTATATTTTACTAAAAAACACACTTTATTACCCTCCATGTAGCAGCAAACATAAGTATGTTAATCCTAATGTTATTTAAATATATTCAAGTGTAAATAAAATCAGGCAAATGAAATTCGCTTAGTCTGCAGGTTTGCTGTAGCAGGGTATTAATATATAAAAAGTAAACAATAAATTCTTTTTATAATTTTATTATTGTTTTCTGAACCCAGATGCCATTTTGTTATTGGTTTAAAATACATTATTGGTGCTATAAGGTGCTATCTAATAAACGAGTTAGATGGTAACTAAGTCCAGGGATTAGTACTTTTTCTTTGGGGAAAATTCAATGGTGTAATACGAACAAATCACAAAACAACAATAAAAATAAATAAATAAAAAAGTGAATTTGTAAGTTGAGGTTAGTAAGATTCTTTATGAATTTCAAGATCTAAAATCAAATAAAATCCTTCATATGTACAGTTTTTGATAGTTTCATGGTAATATACAGGGTGTCCCGGAACTCTTTACCAATATTGTAGGTCATTGTTCCTGGGTAAGAAACTAATCTAAATATAAAATTTAAATTGTCTGTAACGGTAGGTCCATTCGGGAGTCCTTAGTCACTCATACACCCGGCATTTAGTTTTTTTCACTTATTATTTTTTTCCAAAAAAATGCTTAAAGGTAGGAAATTAAAACTTTGCAGAAACATTCATGACAACTAGACAAAGCTACAAAAATTTAGAATAAGTTACCAAATTCATAAAACAAAATGGCGGCCATTTACAATTTTGTTTCAAAAATAACTCAAAAACTGTTGATTTTCCAAAAATGATATTTTATGGCAGCCATTTTGTTTTATGAATTTGAAAAATTCTCATAATTTTTATTGTAGCTTTGTCTAGTTGTCCTAAATGTTTCATTTTCATATGTTTAAAATTTGTTTATACAAAAATAATAAGTAAAAAAATAATAATAATAATAAGGCAAAAATAATAATAAGGCAAAA